CCCCCCCCCCCCCCCCCCCCCCCCCTCTCCCGTCGCATGTGCGTGCAAAACGACGCGTTGCCCATGACGATGGAACGTCTTTTGGGTGTTCTCTGTGTCCGTCTGGTCCGTCATCAAAATGCTTGAACCTGCAATGTGCGGTCCTCTGTGTCCGTCTGGGCCCTTCCCTACGTCCCCGTGGTGTGGAATTGGTCCCCTTGTCGGCGTGCCGCTTTTGTGTGCCGTTTCGGTGTCTTGAGGGAGCAGGGTATCCCCTCGTGCGACCAGCGCCTGATCTTCGGAGGAAGGCAGCTCGAGGATGAGCTTACCCTGGCCGACTACGACATGCAGAAGGAGTCCACCCTTCACCTGGTGCGTTTTGGTCTTGGTGGTTGAATGGTCTAGGCTGTTGCTGCGTTTTGTGCGGTGGATTGTTGTGTCGCAAAAGCTGTCGCTGTTGCGACAATCGATGCTGTTGCGGTGGGTGTTCGATCATCTGTTTTGGGGCTTGTGGTCGGTATGCTGGTGCGGGGCTCCTGTGTGTTGATGTTACATTGGTGTCAACACTGAGACCGACTCCGTGGCCTGCACATGCCCCCCACCCCCCGGTGGATGGTTGCCGAATGCTGTTTTCTTGCTGGTGTTGGCGTCGGAACTGGTGTCAGCGCGGTTGATTGGTCGATCAAATCTTTTGTTTTGTGGAAGAGCTATTCGCTGGACAAAAGCTGGACACAGCGCCCCATGTTTCAAGGCGACGCCGTGGACTCTTGCAGTTGTTGCGGTCTTTCCGCCTGGCAAGACCGATTATTTCACGCGTGGTCATGAGCCGTTCATCCCCACAGTGAGAGCTATTGATACTAGCTCATGGCAGCGGTGTCTGGACAGATGTTGTTGCCACTGTCGCTCTTTCAGGGTCTCGAATTTCCGTCTTGTCAAGAGGCCTATTTGGTCCACACTCACAACTCTTTGCCGCGCCACTCACAACCTGTTCCTTTCATCCTACTGCTGTACATACTTCCATCGCTTGCTCCTCGTCACTGGTGACGCACATGCAAACACACAAGGGGTAGCGTTCTCCTTGGTGTTACGTGTATATTTTCTGAAAACATAAAATGACGCATCTACCGTCACCGCAGGTGCTTCGCCTCCGCGGTGGTGGTAAGAAGCGCAAGAAGAAGACGTACACCAAGCCCAAGAAGGTGAAGCACGTGCACAAGGCGGTCAAGCTCGCGGTGCTCAAGTTCTACCGCGTGGACGACACCGGCAAGGTGCAGCGGCTGCGCAAGTCGTGCCCCAACGACGAGTGCGGAGTGGGCGTGCGCATGGCCGTGCACAAGGACCGCTTCTACTGCGGCAAGTGCGGCCTCACGGTGAGTCTCTTTGTGTGTACCATGTGTGCATGCGCGCTTTTTCGTACCCTTTTTTTGTGTGTGTAGCGTGCCACGACTCCGCTCTGTTGATGATGACCCTCGTTTTTCTAAGTGTCGAACTCGCCGTTCCCTTCCGTATGCAGCACAAGCGCTAAACATCTCCCCTTTTTTTTTGGCGTGCCGTCTTTGTATCGACCCTTGCTTTCCTCTCTTTGTTTGACCAGTACGTCGTGAGCGAGTGCAAGGACGCCCCTTAAAGCTGTCGGAAGACAGGCATGCATTCCCGGAAAAGGCTCCTCAGGGGGGGCGACCACGGCTTGCCTCAGATAGCCATCGCGTTGAGTTGACTTGAAGAGAGGTGGCCGTGGGTTGTGTCATTGCTGTCACTTCTTACTTCTCTGGTGGGACGCAGGGGGAGCGGGGAGGGGGCGATTTTTTGGGGGGGCGGTGTTGCATTCGTTCGACTCGGATGAGACGTCGTCTACAAAAAATCAAACTACAAAAAAGTGAACAATTGTCAAAAGACCGCGCCCCCCTGGCGCAGCGGGGGCGAGGAATGTGCCGTGCCTTAACTCACACAGGGGGGTACCCCCACAAGCAGGAGAAACGTTACATCTCCCCGCCCACGTCGTGTCTGAAGCTTCCATCCCACACTTCGCGAACGAAAACGCCACAAAAGACAAGGCAGTCTTATCATCTGGCACCAAGCTGGAGGTTGCCACGTCCGCGCGACAAAAAGGTTTCATGCGTGTCAGAGGCATGGCGGCGACAGCGCTAGATTTTCCACGGCCACGACGAATGTGTGTCCACGGCTGTGACAACGTTTTTGGTGTGTACAGGGATGGCGGCTGAAAAAAACCTTTGATGCCCTTGGGCAATAAACGATTGCTGTCCCACCTGCCGGAAGAAGCACTGGTAGCATGCACGGCAGTGCGTCAGGGAGCCAATCACAAATGTAACCTTGACTGCCTCCACAGGGAGCAGTACATGTACGTGGCCAAATCAGAGTCAAGACAAGATCTAGACCGCCGCTGGCCACAGGATATCTGGTTTGTGTACCACAACTCCAGAGGCCAGCACCCTACATAGATCGGGGTTCAGTATCTTTCCGAGAAAGTGGTTTGGCGCCCTTGTTCACTGCCTTCCGACCAATCAACCACCCTCATGGAAGCGCACTCGCGCATACACGAGCGCGTCGAAACTTGATCAGACATTAAGTACACCCAGCTACCCTCCGTCGTCGTTGTAGGGACCGACCAGACCGCACACTGAAAAGACCGGTCTGGTCGACCAATCTCCGAAGATCATCGGGCGAATCTACCGAAAAAAAAAAAAAACGGAGAACGCGGCGCGTTTGTCTTTGGTTGATGTGTCAGAAGCAGCCGGCCTCCAACCTCTTGCCGCGACGAAGTCGCCCATTACCCCGCCAACACTCGTCGACACGTGCTGTGCCTGTTTCTCAGTCTAGCGTTCTTCCATGAACCGCTCCGTTACGTCAGCTTTCAATATGTTTACGTGCATGAGAGGATATCTCTCCGAAGCCGTTTCGCTCTTTACGGTTTAGCAAGCACATCGTCACGCTCATGTGCATGTCGCGCAAAGACCCATAGGAGTAATGGTAGCAGAGCCAACAAGGTTGGTCAATTTCCTCACCAAAGGTACACTGACACGTAGAGGTTCGTAGCGTACTTTCGTCAGAACTCCCTACCGTTGCTCTACATCGCGGTCGGTTCTTCGGGCCTGAGGCAAGCGATCAAGACAAGAGACCACCCACCGTGCCGCCCGTTGGCAGCCGCAGATTAGTGCGTTTGGTCGTTGGATACTGGATACGACTGGGTTCGGGGCGAAGCACAAGGGCGAGCGAAGCGACCGCCATGCCTACCCATAGAGTAAAGAACAAAGAAGTCGCGACCTCTAGTTTTGAACGAAGCTTGCATGTGTATCATGTGCGACGCAACGAAGAAAATCATTGATATGATTGTGCTTGTCTGCGCCCTGCCTGTAGTCTATCTATGCAAGCGTGTTCCTGCGAATGCTGCCACGTTCGGTGTTGCGGTACAACACGGTTTTCGAATCTTGCAGCAATAGCACAGCTCTCACGGGGCCATAGACAACATGACTATATGCACCTAACCTTTGTATGTACTGCTCTCAAAACAGATTACGGAGTAATACTTGCGCGATAGCGGTATAACGACCGATCAATATTCAAGGTAGACACCCCGACAGGATATACTAGTTGAACAGATTATGTATATTTAACGGAATAAAAGACAGCAGCCACTCCTTCAACCTGTAACCGACTATTATTTTAGTACCAATGTAACGGAGCTTGGTGGGAATCGAGAAACACTACGACCTCGTCGCCTCCTCGCGCACAAAACAACAGTGATCGCCACGGCGCTGACAGACACAGAGACGAAGAGAGAAGCGCAAAAAAAGCATTCATCATACCCCGTCGCGTGGACCTGCTGCACTGTACCAAACCAGCAATTGGCATGGCGTCTTATCAAGACCCGTGGGCACTAAATCTCGTGGTAGACGAACTGGGTCATCCCGGGCAAGACATGACGAGGCAGACGCCTGGAGATTCCGGCCTCCAGGACCCACACATGGGACAAACAGGCGCTATTGCTCCTTTAATGGCTGCCAGTTTTGGCCTCGGGCTCTCGTTCGATGAATTCACGGACAACGGAGACTCGGAAATATCGGTGAGTTCCTTCGCATAGCTTAATCCCGGGTACACACTGTAGTCTACGTATCGCATTTGTTAGTTGTACAAAATATTACTATCTATATACATGTAGGAGAGTTTCACGCAAAGCTGTAGTTGAGAAAATGGCTGTGGTTGCCTGGCCATCTCTTCTGTCGTGCAAGTTGCCGTCACGACGGTTGGTAAACTTTCATGCGCTCATATTCGTAGTCACGGTCAACAACAAGGTATTCCACGTTTCATGAGGCAGCCATTCTTCATGTATCCTTCATGTGGAAAATACTTCTGCCACACATGTGTCGGCGTTGTGCGCCGCACGCCGGACGGAACCCCCTTCCGATCTACATGGCAGATAGATGAAGAGATTGACCTTTAGAGTGTATTTCAGCCGCAGCGAATACAAAAGGTGGAATATATCTTATCGTCATCTTTGGTTCACGTGCTCAAACTCGTGCCACACAATGCGTATTCTCACGTAACAGTCCCTAATAGTGACTTACAGCAGCATGAGCCCTCTCGAATAGGAGTGAGTATAAATAACGCGCTCAATCTCCTCATCACTAACCGTCTGTCGAGCATCTAGCCAACAACAATCCACTCCCTTTCCTGTGCTCCTGCCGGCGCACCAGATCAGCAACGACCACGTCTCTCAGGGATGGGCCGACAAACTGTACGAGCACCAACCTCTCCCAGAATCTAGTCTCCCCACGTCATTGATTTACCCGACCTTGGGAGAACCACCCACCACGAGAACAGCAGGAACCACAATCGTAGAAGATCTGATGATGGCGTCCGCTGCTGCTGCTACAACCGCCGCTGACGATTCGTCAAAGAAAGGAAGAGTCAATACGAGACCGACGGCGGCACTCGCTGCTTCTGCGTCGTCCGTGGGTAAAGTGACCAGCAGGCTTTCGGCGGATGCTCGTGCTGCTGCTGATGGTGATGATGCCGTGGGGCCTGCTGTCACTGCCGAGCAGCCAGGCTTGCCCGCGGCGTGCCGCACCACCAGGTGGGGGTCTTCTTCCTCCACTACCAAGACATCGTCGAACAAGCCGACCACGCCCGACCGCGCGGAGAGGAAGGAACCGGTGCCCAAGCGGCGAAAATTGCACGTTTCTGCTGAATCCGCAGCGGCGGCGGCGGCGGCGGCGGCGGCGGCGACGACGGTGGCGAAGGCCGCGGCCACGGCAGGTTCCTTTTCTTCTTTCAAGGTCGAGGCGGCAACTCCGATGATCGCAGCGAGGACTCCAGATGATCCTTTTTCGGAAACATCACCACCGTCATCGGCGGCGGCTGGAACAAGTGTGGAGAGAGGGCGGGAGCCGCTTTCGAACACTTCGGTGTCGGCGGGCGCGGGAGGGATGGGCGGCAGGGGGTTGTGGAAGCAAGGAAGCGGCGGGGCACGCGGGGCCGCGGCCGCCAAGACCGCCGCGGTTAGCATTCCGGAGTTCGATATCTACGGCTTCAACGACACGTCCCACCAGGCGCAGTACGAGCGGATGACCTTCCTCGAGCTAGCGAAGGCCGACATGGAGCGCGTCAACCTGGAGCGCGACTTCCTGGACAAGAACGCCCGCTTCGACACCGCAAAGGTCACCCACGCCATGGTCCACGAGCGGTGGGCGAGGGCGGGAGCGGTCTTCGAGGGGACGTCCAAGGCGGCCAACATCTACTTCGTGGCGGAGCAGGAGGCGAAAAAGAGGCACGAGGCGGCCTGCCGTGACAAGCGGGTCGCGGAGGCGAGGGTGACCGAGGCCGAGGAGAGATCGGCGCTCGCCCGGGCGGTTGTCGAGGAGGCCGTGAAGACGCTCGACACAAAACGTGCGGCCAAGAGGAAGGCGGAGGCGGCCCTCCAGCAGGCTTTTGAGGCCAAGGAAGTGGCCGAGAAGAGGGCAGCGGCGCCTGCGTTCGGAACGAGCGGCGGCAGCGGGTTTTCTGGCGAGGGATCGTTGTCGAACAAACGGAAACGCGACGTCGACGGATTGCTGCCGCCATCTACTGCAGTGACAAGAGCGAGCAACAAATGTGCCGACGTTGAACAAGATTGTCCGACTAAGGGTCTGGGCAGTGTCGACGATGTCGACATGGAGAAAGAGGCCACGGCCGAGGAAGGACAACCCTCGGCAAAGCCCCCCGCGACGACGGGCGTCAACGCCCTGTCCGACGAGCAAGAGCGACAGTTTTACATGAGAGGACTCAAGATCGAGCGCCAGATCAGGGCCAGCGTGGCGTCGCAGGCCTACAACTACGTCGCAGCCAAGGAGGAAACACCGGCTACCACCACCACCACCATCACCACCAAAGCGGAAGAGCAAGCGTATTCCGCGGCTGCCGACACCACCACGTCACAACCACAAGCCGCGACCACCACGACCACCGCCGCCCTCGAGCTCGCGCTTGAGGCGGCCGATTCCGACCTCGCCGCCGCCGACGGGAGCATGAAGGCCGCCGCCGTCTCCTCGGGGCGTGCGGCCGCCGAGCTTGACTCAGTCAGGCTCGCCCCCGACCTGCAGGGGGCCGTCCGGGCAGTGGCCGAGACCGCCGACGCCCACCAGGACGCTCTGGACAAGGCCGGGCTGTACGTGTCCTGGGTGAACAACGAGGTGCTCGCGCAGAGGGGGCTGCGGGCCTGGTCCGACAAGCTCTTTCGCGCCGCCGTGCTCGCCTGGGACGCTAGGGAGAAGGCCCGGAAGGCGCTCAACAGAGCCGGGGAGAGGATGTCGAGGGCGGTGTGCCTCCTGCAGGGGTTCCCGCGGGGCGAACAGATGAACGTGTCCCGCCATGCCCTCTTCACGGCCGTCGTGGAGAACCAGCACCAGCTTTGCCAGCTCAACGCTCTTAAGCGGGAGGAGGAGGAGGAAGCTGCGTTGATTGGATGAGCGGATGACGGGGGGCGCGGGGGGGGGAGGTGGAGCCGTAAACGCTCTCGCGGCATCTGCGAACAACGGGCGCGAGCAAGTATGTGCAGACTCTCATGTATAGTGGCGTCTCTCTCTCTTTGTCTCATCGTCCAACTACCAGCGGCACCTGCACTCGTGACAGCATCTTGCGCTTCGTGTAAAGTAACCGTTGCGCGTATATTTGACTGAGTTTGTTCATACATCATTATCTCTCTATATATGTAGGTACATCTATATTCGTGTTTGTATGGAGAATACAGAAAAAAAGGTAAAGGGAGAGTTAGATAGATAGATGGATTGATAGAGAGAGAGAGAGAGAGAGAGAGAGAGAGAGAGAGAGAGAGAGAGAGAGAGAGAGAGAGAGAGAGAGAGAGAGAGAGAGAGAGAGAGAGAGAG